CACAAGTCCAACATTAACCCATATGTCCAACACCAATCCACAAAGTCCTCCTCCATCTCACAAAACACACGCAATGATGCCGACTGCAGGAGGAAAGCTGAGTCAGTGAATGTATAAGCATCTCAGCGCTGGCAGGGGTCTCCACACGGGGGCTCCAGCACCCAGGGTTGCATCCGGGTAGGTCCATGCGGCTTCTCCTCAGGTATGTCTTGCAAGAAGTGAGCCTTGCCAGCTGAAGCATAGAACAGGCTAAGGCAGCTGCACCCTGATCCGACCATCACAAAGCAAGAGACTGGAGAACCAGAAAGGCAAAGTTCACCAAGCTATTTATCTCTCCGCCCTCCAATTAACCCCGTGTGTTTATCGGCCAGGTTGGCACAGTAACCTGTAACTACATTAGAGCATATGTGGACATATTTGTAAGCTGCTATTGTTAGAGAAATCTGAGACACTAATAACATTATTGATGAGGGTGAAGATATGTTCCCAAAAGCAGAACCATCCCATCATTACCAAGCAAATATTGAGTGTCCCATGGCTTACTGTCCGTTCATCCATCATATATTTATTGTTGCCAAGCATCGGTGATAATAACGTGGGCGGCTCTCTTAGTTAGTAAGAGGTTAATACCGTAGCGCGTAGAGGGACATGCAGCCAAACGGACTCCTTGAGGGTGAAAGTTAGATGTGTTTAAATGCTGACGAGAAAGCAGCAGCTGACAGGGTGAAATTAAAGACAAACGATGAGAAGCTCATTTATAAATCCTGGCTCCCAAGCAGAAGGTGTAGCCAAAACTTGACAAAGCTCCCTGACAAATGTGGTTAATATTTAGAACAACACACCTATCTGGGAGAGAGAGAGAGAGTTTTATTTCCATAAAAACAAAACAAAATCTAAAGAGAAATTCAACTAGAAAGATTGGATGGTTGTTCTTTTCAAATCTCTAGCCTAAATTTCCTCCGAAGGAGACAATAAAATTGGCAAAGATGCCCCACGGCCTGCTCTGCAGAAAATAAACCAGCAGGTGCCCATTCAGAAGTGAAGCCAAGTAAGTTCTTGGCAGAAGCTGAGATCGCTGTTGCCACAGGAAAACAGAAAAAGAGGTTAGACTTCAGACTGCTGTCTTTATTTTAGCTCTTGTCAAATGATTGCACAGAGGACCCTTCAACCACCCAGGTCCCCAGCCCATCCTGCACTTGGCACCTGGGCTTCTTTGGCTTGGATTATTTGGGGCTAATGGTGGCCGTGGCCTTTGCCGTTTGGTTCCTTTCTGGTATTATGGGGTCAGTATGGACCAGAATGCTGCGGCTTCTTGGGCAAACCGCTGTGCCGATGAGGGCAGCAGATGGGAGGGTGCCACTCTACCAGGGGAGCACCGGAGGCTGCCAGTTTCCATAGCTGCCCTGAGCCCGGGCCCAGAGGCAGCCTGTGACCTCAGGCAAGGGTAGGCCCGCATTCCTAAGGGTCACATGATTCAGCCCCCACCTCATTCCTGAGAATGGAGACAGCGCATGCGTTGGATGAGGGCTCTTCAAAGAGTCCGTGGAAACATAGTACAAAAATACAATGGTGTTTTCCCACAAACTTTTAGAAGCCCCCTCGCGTGCGACTGCACACGCTTTGTACACTGGAAAGGCCCAAAGGAACACGGGAGTGTTTAAGGGAGGTAAATAAAGTGATCTGCTGGAGAAAACAGAGAAATTGTGTGGGCGCACATGCGTCTGGGTACATGTGCGCATGCGCCTAAGGATGAGTAGGGGTCTGTAGAGACCAAGCGCAAAAACAAACAAACAAACAAACAACAAACAAACAAGAAAAACAACTCACAGCAATTGAGTAAATGTTGACTCCTGGAAACCCCTTAGGACAGGGTAGAACTGCCCCTGTGGTTTTCCAGGACTGTAACTTTTTATGGGCGGAGAAAGCCTCTTCCTTCCCTGTAGAGTGGCTAGTGATTTTGAACTGTGAGCTTTGTGGTTTGGAGCCCAACATGTAACCCACCACACCACCAAGGCCCCTATAGACAGAGCTGCTGCCTCCTTGGCTTGCCACCATGTAGACAGAGCCTTAGTATGGTGTCTTAGGAAGACATAGAAACCCTAACTGTACCCCAAACCAGCCGCAGGCCTTTTGTATCTCCAGCCACTGAGCTCCGTTCAGGGTGCCGTGAGAGCTCGCTCTCCTCGCCTCTCCTCCTCACACGGTTATGGTTGTCAGCTGTTAGAGTTGGTCCCGATCCGTGGCAACCCAGGAGTGCATCGCATGTGGGAACTCCAGAGGGATTTCAGGGTGATGGCCCTTTGGAAGCAGATTGCCAGGCCTCTCTTCCAAGGTGCCTAGGGGAGGATTAAGCGGCCAACCCCGCAGGGACAAGTCAAGCACTTCTCTGTTGGCTTCACCCAGGGGCTTCCCTTACCAGACTCCAAAACAAAAAAACAAACAAACAAACAAACAAGCTCACTGCCTTCCAGTCGATGCCAACTCATAGCAACCTTCCAGGACAGGGTGGAACTGTTCCTACGCTGTTCTGAGACTATAACCCTTTGCAGGAGTAGAAAGCCTGTCTTTTTGCCAAGGAACTGCTTGTGGTTTTCAAACTTCTGAGCTTACAGTTAACAGCCCAACACATAAACACAATGCCACCAAGTCCCCCTGAAATCCCTGTCAACCGTCACCGATGGGCTCAGGAAAGCCTGGGGAACATGTCCACTGCCTGGTTGCCCAGGACCTCTGTGCAGTCCCAAGGCTGTAGACCTGGTGCGGGATTCACAGGTGGCTGTCTTCCGTTTTGAGAATGGAGTGGAAGGACAGGGAAGTTCAGAACTCTTTTTTGGTGTGTGAAGGAGGGTGAATGGACAACCAGGTGTGGTCCCCCATGGAGTCAAATAGACGCCCCAAAGAAGGTGGCCCATGGGGAAAAAAAGATGGATACTTCTCCATAAAGGGACAAGATTTGGAAACCATGGGGCATGCTGTAAAAAGAGAGGAACAACAGCCATGGCTGTCTTCATGACTTGTTTGTCCCCAACCCTGCCCTTCCCTCAACTCCTCACTTTCCTTCCCAGCATCATCCCCTCGCTCCCTCCTGTCTACACAGATGGGGTGTGGGAGCGTCTGAAGATGAGCAGAAAAGTAGACTGGGTGGAATCACAAAGCATCTGCGTACCAAGGTCCGGCCTCTGGAGTGAATCCTGGAAGCCACAGGGAGCTTTCCCGGCAGGATGAGACTCAAGGAAACGATTGCTTTCCGTTTCAGAAAGCTCCCTCTTGGAGCCTTTGGTGAATACTTTGAAGAAGAGTCAAACCAGCTAGAACATTATCAAAGAATCCAGACTGTTAGAAGCAAATGTGGTGAGGAAAGCTGATGGTGCCCAGCTATCAAAAGATATAGTGTTTGGGGTCTTAAAGCTTGAAGGTAAACAAGCGGCCATCTAGCTCAGAAACAACAAAGCCCACATGGACGAAGCACACCAGCCTGTGTAATCACGAGGTGTCGAAGGGATGAGGTATCAGGCATCAAAGAACAAAGATATCAAATCATTGTCAATGAGGGAGAGTGCAGATTGGGGACCCAAGACCCAGCTGTAGGCAACTGGACATGCCCTTACAGAAGGGTCACAGCAAGCAGATGAGACAGTCAGAGTGCAGTGTAGCAACGATGAAATATACAACTTTCCTCTAGTTCCTAAATGCTTCCCTCCCAGCCCCCA